GCAACTTTTAGCACAGACCGCATGCGAAAACGTTCATTTAAACTGTGTAAATGACAGGCCAGGAGTCAGAAGGGAGCTCCGTTCCAGAGGCCAATTTTTCAGCATGCGTGTTGAGTAAGCACACCTCACAGGAGCCTCAGGCTCCTTTCTATCAGCGTGTCTATATGAGTCCGACAAACCTCAATGGGCACGGTGTTGGCCAGAAAATTCAGAAAGAAGCCATAGATATCTCAGGTCAATGGAGCTATTGTGCTTAAGAAGAAGGATTCGTCGCCTCAAGCCATTAATTCCAATATTTTAGTGTAGGGAGCCTTTTTTTTAATACAATCTTCAAACAAACCTCTGTATCTTGGCAGAATAGTTGGAACCTGTCCTAACCCTAGTGTGAGGGCAGGGCAGTTTCATTGTAAAGTTTGGTGTTATTTTTTACCATACGAGCAAGCTGCTCCGATCCATTGCTGTTTTGAGGGTGCCCTTTGTCATACCAAATTTAGAATTTGGTTCTAAATTCTTAAGGCACACCTTTGTGTTGCTAAATACTGGAAGGATTCTTATCTAGATTTAAGAAATTTAGTAAGGTTTGGGAACTTGGTTTATTTTTTAAATGTTATCTAATTCTGGGTTTTATTTAATTGACCAAACTAAGTAATAATTTTAATTAGCAATTTTATGATGTTTGTGTGTCTATATTTTTCTTGACTGTACACCGCCTTGAGTCCTATGGGAGAAAGGCGATATAGAAATATAATAAATAAATAAATTTCAGTTAGGCGAGTTAGAAACTGGTCTGAATCTAGCTGCTGACCCTCTAATAGGCAAACTTTTAATATTCTTTCCCCCCTATCTTTTGAGGGCCCCTATGCCCTCTGTAAAAAGGGACACTGTGGCTCAGTGGCTAAGATGCTGAGCTTGTCGATCGAAAGGTCGACAGTTCAGCGGTTCGAATCCCTAGTGCCATGTAACAGGGTGAGCTCCCGTTACTTGTCCCAGCTTCTGCCAAACTAGCAGTTTGAAATCGTGTAAAAAATGCAAGTAGAAAAATAGGGACCAGCTTTGGTGGGAAGGTAATAGCATTCCGTGTGCCTTTGGTGTTTAGTCATGTTGGCCACATGTCTTCGGACAGTGCTGGCTCTTTGGCTTTGAAATGGAGATGAGCACCGCCCCCTAGAGTTGGGAATGACTAGCACATATGCGCGAGGGGAACCTTTACCTTTATGTCCTCTGTGTTAAGTCCCACAGCACTTTCCCTCTTTGGTGAGTTGTGCTCACCAAAATCTCATTGTGTGTACCATGAGCTTCCTCTTTCTTAAGAGCAAATGTACCACCTGCAGTACAAAAACCACTGAATCAGTAATTACTTTTGGTTGGATTAAAATCAGCAGGCCATGTTCAACACGCAATAGAACTGTCTAGGTCCATTCTAGCCCCCGAAGCACCATTAACTATCACCATCATCTCCATTACCAAATTTCTTCTCTCTCTAATGTTAATGTATCATCCTAAATATTTTTAGATTATTTTTCTTTTTTTCTCTCAATTCAGTATTTGCTGCCCTCTATTCTCCTATGAGCATTCTGAGTCCTATCAGAATTTAAACAATCTTCTATTCCTAGTATTATATCAACAAGGTGTAGCATTATTAGAGATTGTTTTCTGAGTTTTTGCATGGATGCAATCGGAGGTGGTATTCAGCAGGTTCTGACCAGTTCTGGAGAATCGGTAGTGGAAATTTTGAGTAGTTCGGAGAACCGGTAAATACCACCTCTGACTGGCCCCGCCCCCATCTATTCTCTGCCTCCCGAGTCCCAGCTGATCGGGAGGAAATGGGGATTTTGCAGTAACCTTCCCCTGGATTGGGGAGGGAATGGAGATTTTACTTCCCCTGCCATGCCCACCAAGCCATGCCCACAGAATCGGTAGTAAAAAGAATTTGAACCCCACCACTGGATGCAATGATATGTAGAGTGTCAGCAATATGCAGTAGAGTAGAGTAGGGTAGGGTAGGGTAGGGTAGGGTAGGGAAGGGAAGAAGAGAAGCGAAGCGAAGCGAAGCGAAGCGAAGAGACGAGACGAGACGAGACGAGACGAGACGAGAAGAGAAGAGAAGAGAAGAGAAGAGAAGGCTCTGGAAAGGAGATGTAAGACCTAAGACATCTTCAAAACTTCCTCATTGTGTCAGTTGTATGCATCTTCTGTGCCTCTTCCTGCTATATTTCCACTCATATTTCTATGTTTGGGGTACATCTCTCGCTAATTTTTAGGAGACCACCAAAGTTAGAAAAACAGAAGTAAAAAAATAAAAAATAAAAATGTAGGCAACAGAGGTTCTCCTTCAGTTAGCTCAGTGATGATTTACTTCCCTTTTGCCTTCTGCTACATTTGCTTTCGTTTTCATTTCATTTGTCAAAAGAAAGGAAAGCAATGCTACGGAAATTATTTCAAAAGAGAAGATTTTCTCAAAGTTCCCGATGAATGGAACGTGCTGTTCTTGTATGCATTTCATTGTGAGGTGGCCGAGGGCTGAACGTGAACATTCTGTCTTTCGTTTTACAAATATCTCCCCAGCAGTCTGGAGCCTCTTTGGCTTCCTAGACTGCTGTTAAACCCAAGTGGAAACCCTTAGGAATAAATTTCACCCCCCCTTCCCTTTTGAGTTTTTTTGAGTAATGGTGCTTTTGTGACTGCTAAAGTGGAGAACTGTCTGAGAAGTTTGGAGAAATCATTCACTGAGTTTCTGCGTCCACAATTTTGGTGGGCAATTTTGCAAGCCGTTTGTGTGTAGCTTCAACTTAGTCTAAGTACTAGGACCAGTGGGTAGGTTGCTCCCGGTTCAGTCCGGTTCATGCGAACCGGCTGTAGGGTGCTTGGCCCACCTGCCCCAATGTCATCACTGACGATATCCGCGCACGCTCCCATTGCGAACCAGTAGTAAAGGTAAGTGGAACCCACCCCTGATTAGGACCCAGCTGAAGTGAAAGATGCCAAGGTTATGTCACATTCCACAATCTGCCATGCCACTTCTCTGCATAAATTGCATTTAAAATCTGTTATCGCATGGAATAGCTTCTTCTATTCAGTATATTCATCTTCCTCCTATCCAAGCATACAATGGCTACCTTTCTGTAAAGGCAGCAATAGCACTTAGACTTATATACTGCTTTATAGTGCCTTACAGCCCTCTCTAAGCAGTTTACACAGCCAGCCTATTGACCCCAACAAATCTGGGTCCTCGTTTTACCCACCTCGGAAGGATGGAAGGCTGAGTCAACCTTGAGCCCGGTGGGATTTGAACTGCCAAATTGCAGGCAGCCGGCAGGCAGCAGAAGTAGCCTGCAATGCTGCACTCTAACCACTGCGCCACCGAGGCTCATAGTCAGCAGGCTGGCAGTTACCAACATTATTTTGATTAGCGAAATATTTAGAACAGGATTATGGATCTTCTGCTTCTCTGTGAACCCTGAATTAGTTTTGCCCCGACATGATTAGCATAAGAGAGAATCCATTCTTTAATCTTACCCAGAATTTAGTCAAAAACTATATTTATGCCGATTTCAGATGATAATCCCATACATCCAGACCCTACACCTCTGTGCCGCTCATTAAATACTGGAGTTTGGATTAATAATTTCCTTCATGGGTGTGAAATGCCAACGTGCCAAAAGAACGCAGAGGCCTGTATACCAATGATGGCAAACCTTTTCGGCACCAAGGGCTGAAAAGGGAGTGTGCGTGCCAAAAAGGGAACACTTTGCGTGCACACGAATGCTTCACATGCGTGTGCACACTCGTCAGGGCCGCGACCAGGAAGAGGAGCTGCCCACGGGGCATGTGCGCGCCGGATAAGGTACTTCCGGTTTCTGGCGTATGCATGCATGCCAGCCAGCAAGTCTTCCAGTTACTGCCGTGAATGCACATGCGTCAATCAGCTGGCCGGCGCACATGCCCAGGCAGGAAAACAGAAAACCAGCTCTTCCGGTTTTCAGCACTGCCGCACGTACAAAGGCCAGCTGATCATCGTATGCGCATGCATACCAGAAACCCAGAATAGGAATGGATGACGGCGCATGTGCCAGGCGACATGGCTCCACGTGCCACTTCAGGCACACATGCCATAGGTTCACCATCACGGCTATACAAAAGACCAAACCATGCAGATGCACTGGCCAAAGTTCATTACTTCTCAATTGGTGTCAGGAAAACAAATGTCAGTGTTGTCTGGAACAGAGAGCCAAAGAAGATGTTAAAGTGCAGAGTGCAGAGTGCAGAGAAGAGCAACAAAGATGATTAGGGGACCGGAGGCTAAAACATATGAAGAACGGTTGTAGGAACTGGGCATGTCTAGTTTAATGAAAAGAAGGACTAGGGGAGACATGATAGCAGTGTTCCAGTATCTCGGGGACTGCCACAAAGAAGAGGGAGTCAAACTATTCTCCAAAGCACCTGAGGGCAGGACAAGAAGCGATGGGTGGAAACTAATCAAGGAGAGAAGCAATTTAGAACTAAGAAGAAATTTCCTGACAGTTAGAACAATTAATCAGTGGAACGACTTGCCTCTAGAAGTTGTGAATTCTTCAACATTGGAAGTTTTGAAGAAGATGTTGGATAACCATTTGTCTGAAGTGGTGTAGGGTTTCCTGTTTGGGCAGGGGGTTGGACTAGAAGACCTCCAAGGTCCCTTCCAACTCTGTTATTCTATTCTATTCTAAAGTGTTCTATGACGATAAGGGACATTCAGGTGTGGCCACAGAATTTTACCTCACCTGATATCAGGCCCATGATTGTAAGAAAAGGGGACCTGGAGCCTAAACCTTGCCCCTTTATCCTTACCATGGCTTATTTGCAGCTATAAATGACTGCAGTAAGTCCTTCTTCAAAGAACTGATGAACGACACTTTAGGGACTGGTGGGCTTTGCAGTAGGCGGGAGCCGAGAATCCAATCCCACCCAGCGGTTTTGCATAAATAAATAAATCATTGCCGAGAGAACAGGAGAGCTTGCTTTGGGAAACAGCGTGCAGCCAACTCATCGGAGACAGTGTGTGCGAGTGTGTATATGTGTGTGTGAGAGAAAGAGAGAGAGAGAGAGAGAGAGAAAGAGAGAGAGTGTCATGTTACAGAGAAATCAGGAACAGTCACACTGCAATGTGCAATCAGTTGAGAATTACCTCTCTCTAATGGGGACCTTCACGCACAGACCGTTGCCTACTCTGCACAGGATCTGACCATCTGACCAAGAGGGAGGGAGGAGGAAAATCAGCAATAATAAAGGAAGCTTAAAAGGGAGAAATGCAACAACAGCAACTTTGATCCAACTATCTTCTCAAAAGAACTTTTCTGAAGTTTGATTTTTTTTTCTCCCTCCTCTTTGGGACAACACACACACACATCCATTCCTTCCCCACCACTTGGTTCTACATCCATTTTTTTATTTTTATTTTTGTTTGCTACCTGTCCTTTTTCTTCTTCTTCTTCTTCTTCTTCAGTGGCTCTGGGAGTCTTCTGGATGGTGGTGTCCTTTCCTGCATCTCGGATCGCCTGCTTCTGAGAGGAAGATTCCCTGCTTTATTTATTCAGTATTTATTTATTTATTGCCTCTCAAGGCCAGGGAAGGAATGGTGGTAGAAGAGAAGAACTGGAAAGGGGCTGCTCCTGGTAGCTTGGAGACGGGCTGCCTCACCCATCCCAGGACGGGAGGAGATGGAGAAAGATGCTGTAAGGTACCTCCGCTGCTGAGCTCGGGGCTGCCTGGAATCTCTTTACTTTCTTTGGTGCTGAGCCTCTTGCTGTACTTCAGGACATCAGATCTGCAGTCCAGGGTTTCTCATTTGGAGGCGGACAGATCCACTCCGCTCCCTGCCGCCTGCCTCTCCGCAGACCAAATGGAGACAGCTATTTTGGGAAGAGTTGACCAACTGCTCGCTGAGGTCTGTGCTCTTTCATTTTCACATATGTATACTAAACTGCCTGTGGCCTCCGTACAAAGTCTAAGGGTTTTATTCGGTGGGGATGCTTTTAAACAAATGGTGCATTGGAGAAAATATCTCCGAGTGCCCAAAGTAGGAGAATTCTTTTGCTTCTCTCCTTCTCTCTGGTGTTTGGGATTTCACGGTCTGTTTTGACAACTTTGCCTGAGCTTTCCTAGACAGCTTGAAATTAGATTATCCTCTTGTACGGTTGCTCCCTCTCTGAAATAGATAGGTACTTTGAGCAATTCATTAGGAGTATAAATACTTAAGAGTTACATTAGCCCATTTCAATATAGCTAACCTGGCTTCGTGGAAGTCAGTTGCATGTGGGATTTTCCTACAATGGGGTTTTTACTTCTTCGTATGCTGAACCAGGGCTGGGAATATCTGCCAAATTGAAATGGCCATTTAGCCTAGTGATCCTAAGTAACCTTTGATTAACCTAACCCTAAATGCAAGGGTGTTTCTGAGGCTAAACCTGAGTGGAGGTGAACAATATATACCACTTTATTGTGGGGGCAATAAGCTGACTTTGTATAAATATACAAAAGTATGAAGGCTATTGCTTAATGCATTGTAAGACGCCCTGAGTCTCCGGAGAAGGGTGGCATATAAATTAAATTAAATTAAAAAAAAACTTTAATAAATGCACAATGAATACCATTTTGCAAGCTCAGGGGCATCATAATTTCTATCAGATTCTGGGCACCACTTTATTTAAAAATGAAAATTCAGCACAAGTGATTTCACGATGCAACTGATTCAAATTCACACCCGGTGAACTGGAAGCTTTCAGGACTGATAGTAGCCAAATTGAAAACAGCCAGCAGCAACACATGAAGTGTATAATTTGAAGACAATGTGATTCAATAAAATACCCAGCAAGACAATTGCTAGCAACGGAAGCCAAATGCAGCCTTGAGAGCGGATCAGATAAATGGGAAAACAAATGGGATTAGGCAGCTAGTAAGAGGCACCTCGGTTCCTTCTTGCTTGCTAGCCAGCTGTGAGAAAAGATTGCTCTGTGTTGCCATCCAGATTCCTTATTCGCATATGTTATTTTGGAAACTAATATGGGACAGAAAGAAACAATGTCTTGGCAAGGCTTTCCTAAGAGGAAGAAGAACTATTGCTAAGAACCTCATAGGGGGTGGTTGGTGGAGATTAACAATGAAATAAGAGATGATCTGTTTACAAAATCTCTGAGGAGGTGGGACAATGCATAAATAAGTGCGGTGCCAGAAATTGGCAGGACCACCTACAGAGCTCCGAAGATTGGCTACTCCAAGCCAATCAGAGGAAAATTCCCACCACTCCACTCTGCCTTGGTAGTCTGTTAGGTTTACTGATGGTTACGTACCATCATTTTCACCTCATCAATCACATGAGCAGCAGAAGCTAGTTTAGACATAGTTGGACCATGAGTTCATTCATGGTCATAGAGCAATGCCTCCTTTGGGTTTCAGGCAAGAGTTCATTCCGAAGATCTTTTTAAGCTGGGGATGAATGAGTCCAAATCTTTGGAGAATCAGCGTTTCAGTCAGAGATCAACATCGTGATACCTGCAGGCAGCTTGTCTCCTCCAGATGTCATTACTGGGGACTAAAATAAACAAAACAGCCCAACGTACAGGAGATTGCCGACGTTTATAACATGGTGGTGTTCCCTCCAAAATCTTGCAATCAGCTTTTTGTAAACCTCAAAAGATTAGTTGATATAGTAGGATGACGTATTTGTGCAAACCAGCCTTACAATGGCATACTCAACAGTTGTTTCTACAAAGGGGAATTAATTAGGAGTAAGGTTTCCCTCTCTGTTGAAAACAATTATATAATTTGATCTAAATAGCTAGAATCTAAAAGTTAGGGTTATCCAGTAATATTCTTCCCTGCCCTCCATTCTGAAAAGCATGTTATACTGGAATGCTGCCATGAAGTATTATGTGTAAAAATGTGGATGTAAATATTTCAGATTATAAACAGCATAAAAAAAAGAATCAGCTCTATGGATTCCCCCCCTCCCCGTTCATCGTGGGTGGTGAGTGAGAGAACCCTTTAGATCACTTGACAATTGAAAAATGCTGTATTATTATCTTCTGCTTTGTTGAATTCTTTCTTGGCGATATCTGATATCTGATAAATGCCATTCATCCTGCGTGATAATTTCGGTGGGAACCATACAACTTGTAGCTCCTGAGAAAAGGATTCTTGCCATATAGTTTTGATGGAATTCGTTTTTCTTGCTTAGTGCCTAGAGATACATTCCCATGAAGTGTTCCATGGATGATAAGTTTAGAATCCAGATGGTGTTGGTGCAGACTATGGATGGATCTGTGCAAGACAATTTTTTTTTAAATTTGATTTATATGCCGCCCTTCTCCGGAGACTCAGGGCGGCTTACAATGCGCTAAGCAATAGCCTTCATCCTTTTTGTATATTTATACAAAGTCAGCTTATTGCCCCCACAACTGGGTCCTCAATTTACCTACCTTAGAAAGGATGGAAGGCTGAGTCAACCTTGAGCCTGGCGAGATTCGAACCTGCAGTAATTGCAGGCAGCTGGTCTTAATAACAGGGTGCTTTAGACCACTGTACTACCAAGGCTCTTGGTAGTTGAGTTAATTGAGCTGATTACCTTGTAGCCTGGCCCAATCGACTACCACAGCAGTTCTATGATATCATCAGAGGTGGGTTTCAGCAGGTTCTGACCAGTTCTGGAGAACCGGTAGCGGAAATTTTGAGTAGTTCGGAGAACCGGTGGTAAAAATTCTGACTGGCCCCGCCCCCATCTATTCTCTGCCTCCGGAGTCCCAGCTGATTGGGAGGAAATGGGAATTTTGCAGTAACCTTCCCCTAGAATGGGGAGGGAATGGAGATTTTACAGTATCCTTCCCTTGCAATGCCCACCAAGCCATGCCATGCCCATCAAGCCACCCCCACAGAACCGGTAGTAAAACATTTTGAGACCCACCACTGGGTATCATCACACACAAGGCAAAAGGCTGTAACACAGCTATTATTTGGAGCAGCTATTGGTCCATAGTCTAATTTTAGTCTGCTGGAACCTGTTCAGTCCAAATTCCTTAACTCCATATTTGATACCCCAGAGCGCAACTCAAAAGTAGCTCTTAGCTAGAAACAGGGTCGACCAGAGTAAAAACCAGAATTAGGCTAGTAATATTTTATTATTGGCTTAAACGTATCACTTGTCTGCTGGAGTGCTCTTCTCAGGAAGTCCCTTAAGCCATTTTTATGGGCCTTCTCAGACCATTTTACGCAAGTTTTATCAGGCTAAACTGAGCTGCAGTACAGTTACAATCAATCAATCAATCAATCAATCAATCAATCAATCAATCAGGCTTTATTTGGTCATAGGCCAGCAAATAAAACAAAAATCACACTTAAATAAAATAAGAAAGAGAAACACATCCTAAAGTAGCATTAAAAAAAATTGGAGGGGATGCTATGGCATTCCGTACTGTAGAAGCAGCTGTTTGGAGGCATTAAATCTGGCCTCTTCTGAATTTTGGAATTGGATGCCCCAAATTTGAACTAATTGCTGGTTAAATGCCTGTGGAGATTCTCAGTCATCCAGGTCATGGTTGTCCCAAAGATGCTTTTTCAAGAGGCAATTGGACTTTTTTTTTTGTTTTTCCTTGAAGACCTTGAGCTGAAGAAGCTTCTTAGATGAGAAGCGAAACATCTTCGAAGAAAAAAACCAGAAAGTCCGATTGCCTCTTGAAAAAGCACCTTTGAAATCATTGCTAGTTACCAGACACAAATCTTTTGATGCAAGGTTTTTGGAAGCTGTTTGCCCATGGCTTCTTCTTCCTTCCACTGATAGAGAGTGACTGACCCAAAGGCACCCATCTGGCTTTCATGTCTAAGGCAGGATTAGAACTCACGATCTCTTGGTTTCTAACCTGGAGTCTTAACCACTATAGATAGTCTTTGACTCATGACCAGTCGCTTAACGACTACATAAAGTTACAATGGACCAGGGGTGAAATCCAGCAGGTTCTGACAGGTTCTGGAGAACCGGTAGCGGAAATTTTGAGTAGTTCGGAGAACCGGCAAATACCACCTTTGGCTGGCCCCAGAGTGGGGTGGGAATGGGGATTTTGCAGTATCCTTCCCCTGCCACGCCCACCAAGCCACACCACACCCACCAAGCCACACCCACAGAACCGGTAGTAAAAAAAAATTTGGATTTCACCACTGCAATGTACCCCTCCAAAAGCCACACCCACACCCATAACCAAGTGATCCCATTTTGGGCACTTGGCAACTGCCTCACCTTTATGGACATTTGTATCAATCCTGCAGATCTGTGACCACCGTTTTCAACATTTCCTGCCAGTTTCTGGCATTTGCTTCTGGTTTCCAGCAAAAAAACCTCTCATTGGGTAAAATGGATTTGCTTAACAACCATAGCATTCCCTTAATGACCACCGCAAAAAAAAAAAAGTTTAAAAATCAGGTCCACTCATGTGATGCTTTGCCTTATGGCTGCTGCAACTTACGATTGTAATTCCGGGCTCAGTTATGGACATAAGCCGAGGACTACCTGTACACCTGTCTGGTTCTTATAGTGCTCTCTTTAGCAATCGCTACAGTTACAGGGTAGATATTGCAGACTTTTAAGGGCTCATCACTTCTGCCCTTTTCAGCACATAAGAGAAAGAACCAATAAGGCATCTTCTTTTAGATTAAGGGTTTTATATGAAATTGTGTCAACTTTTTATTTTTGCATGGGGCAATTCCTGAAGAACCAGACAGTTTCTATATCAACTTTCTGCTTCCTGATAGATATTTTAATAACTTGCATTGTTGCAAAGTTCTGTTATTTAACACCAAGGTTTTGGCAGGGGATTGGTAGATTTAAGAGAGGTAGCCAGGAGTGATATTCAGCTGGTTCAGACCAGTTTGGGAGAACAGGTAGCAGAAATTTTAACTGGT